TGCGGCTTCGGCGCGCACAATGGCCTGGACTAGCGGCGGAGCCCATACCTCGCCTGGGGCGGAGCGGGCCGCGGAGCACGCGGAACGCTGAGCGCCTGCGCCCGCCGAGTGTTCCGGCGCCGGGCCATGCACTCGGGGAACCGCAGCGGCGGCCTGGACTCCTGGGAGGGCGGCGGGGCTGCGGGCGCCGAGGGGCCGGGGCTGGCGGGAACGCTGAGCCCCGGTTCGGTTTTCAACCCGAGCACCTACGAGCGCCTGGCGCTGCTGCTCGGCTCCATCGGGCTGCTGGGCGTTGCCAACAACCTGCTGGTGCTTGTATTTTACTACAAATTCCAGCAGGTCCGCACTCCCTTCTACCTCTTCCTGGTTAACATCAGCTTCAGCGACCTGCTGGTGTCCTTCTTCGGAGTCACCTTTACCTTCGTGTCCTGCCTGAGGAACGGCTGGGTCTGGGACACCGTGGGCTGCGTGTGGGACGGGTTTAGCAGCAGCCTTTTCGGTGAGTTGGGCTGGAGGAGAAAGCACCCGCCTCTCCTCAGCAGACTTTCCATTCTCTGCATTGCCACCGTCTCTGTGCGCCCCCTTGCCACTCAGCCCACCCTCACCTCACTGCCGCTGGGCCTCGTCGCTCCAACTCGCCCTTCCCCGGCTGCGCCTCCCCTCCCGCACCCCAAGCTGCATGGCATTCTGCCCTCCTTCCTGCCCCACACCTCCACTCCGTCCCTATGGTCTTTCATCTCACCGCACACCGTCCCTACGTCCCAGCCCCTCGTCGGCCCCACCTCCTTCATAGCTGTGTCCAGCCACTTTCCGTCTCATCTCAGTTCTGTTTTCACCTCCTCGTGTAATTCAACAAGGCTCGAAACGACGGCTTTTACTCTTTGAGGAAAGAAACGAGGAACTATAGAGTCAGATTCAAGAACAAAAGGGATGATCTCGTGAAAGTTGGCGAGGGTAATGAGAAAGAAGAGTTCATTTATATGCTGTTTGTTTCCTAAAATGACAGGGCAGTCGCATGAGTAATTTTTTTTTAAAATTTTTTTTTTGCTCATGAGCAGTTATAAACTTTTGAATGCTTCCTAGGAACTCTTAGTAAGGGAGTTTTTCATTTCATTCAGGTCCTCAGAATGCAAATTGGCATGTGCCCTTTAAGCTATTTTTACTGTATTTTACTCCTGGGTTCCAGCACACCAAAATCTAAAGTGAAATTACAAACGGCTCAGAGAATCTCAACTCAGGTGAACAAAAATTAGCTTTGCAGCCAGTAGATTTCATTGAAGTTGAACTTGATTGCTAATTGAAGATTTATTTCAACAACACTCCTAATCCTTATGCAAGATTTAGGTCTCACTGAGATTTTTTAACATTTTGAAGGATAGATCCATTAGTGTATCATTGAAGATGTGAATTTCTGAGCTTAGGAAAGAAATGATTTGTGTGTGCTCCAGAATTTCATTTGTACAAAGATTTGAAATAGAAATGTGAAATCCATTGATACTTTATTGCTGCTTTTATCTTGGCAGGTTTTTGAGAACAAAATCTTTGTAGCGTTATCAAAATTTTCTTATTCACTAACCTCCTATGTTGTGACAAACATGTTATATATGTTAAGATTCACTTTTAGATTTTTTGAAGGAAACCAAAGTCATAGAAATCATGATTTCATTCATTTGATTTCCTCAATGATTCTAATATTCTAATACTACTTTTTCCCTCCCTAATAAGCATTAATCTGAGAATTTCATTTGTGCAAAGACTTGAAACTTGAGAGGGGGCTGTAAGTGCACGTAGATAGTGATATGGATGGCTATGTGATCACACTCTTTATATTAACTTAAAATACCTATTTGGCAATTCTGGAGGCGCAGGCTAAGCTTTAAAGAGGGTGACGGAAGGTCAAGCCTACAGTGTCATCAGTAATGCTCCCTGAGGTGAGCAATAGGTGTCTGGTCACATGAAAGTTCTTATTTACAAGAACTGCTTTTTCTCTGCTGGGAATTGTATTTCCATCCGGACACCGTGCATTAGAGTTTGAAAACAAGGATATGTTGAATTCTTTATTAGTAGCAGCATTCCATCTATTCCTCATCTCTAACCTCAGCAACCCCACTTTGCTGTGTCTCCTGGTCTCTTCCTTCCTTTCCTTCTCGTTCATCATCTCTACTTGGATCCCATCCCAATCAGAAGGGATATCTAAGACTGCTAGAAACATTCACTACATGGTAGTTTTCCTGACGACTGCTCTATTTATCTGGCATTTAGTTAATGTCTTCAACTGTGACTATCCCTGCACTTAAATTAGAAATGGAAACTCTGAGGTGAGAGATTAAGAGACTTGGTTAAGCCCTGAGAGAAAGTCAATAGTGAGAGTATGATGGAGCTTAAATTCTTAGCAAAGATTAAGAATTTCTTTGCCTGGAGTTAATTCTAAGGATTGTGCTTCTCAATAAGAGTTAAAGGTGAAGAAAGAGAGGGTGCTTTTCCATTTGTCATCCCTGAACAAGAACTAACCAACCATGGAATATTGAAGGGGAGGCAATTGAAAAATGCCCAAAGTGGCCGCTCTCTCCAGAGGCCGCTGGAGAGGCTGCCCTATCACCTGAGAAGACCACAGGCCTGACAGCATGAGTGTGGGCCCGGCCCTTGATCCTGTGGCTAACCAGCCCATTGTGTGCACTTGCCCATCACTTAATCCCTTCAGCCATCATCATGTCTCTGTTATGGATAATTGAGCTAAATCAGCTTTAAGGTTGTCTTGTCCTACTTGCTGTGTATTTTGAGGACTTCTTTGATAGCTGTAGGTTAAATGGTGCCTGGTTTTAGCGCTTATGGCCTGTTTCCTCTTCTCCTATTCTCACCCTCAAGCCAAGAATAAGCATGTACTTGCTAGTTACACTTCATATACCCTCATGAATTCTGTCTTCCTCTGCACACCCCACTGGAAGAAGGCAGAATAAGTAATTCAGACATAGTCACGTACATACACACAGGGGCCAGGTCACTGCTTTATTCTGTACTCAATCCCCAGTTTCTCAGGGAATGCTGAAAACGAGTGGAATCCCAGAGATTCTTCTGGCAGAGGCTTTGACCAGACAGGACTATTAAGGGAGCCATGTCACTTACACTGACCAGTCGGTTCAGTGAACTAGTCAATTTAATCTAAGTTCCGATTGAATGGCTTGTTTTACAGATGTCCAAGATAATTAGTCATCTTCACCTAGGCAGGCCCAGTTTGTACTGGTCTAGATCTCAGCAAGTTTAGTAGTGGTGAAAACCCAAGCTCAGGGAGCTGGCACTCTTCTCTGGCAGTGACGGCTGATAGCAAGGCCCCGATCGGGGTGTGTGTGGCGCTTCAGCCCGAAGACCTCAGGGGAGGATGCCTCACCCCCTTGGCTGCGCCACCTCTGGCCACACCTTGTGCCACATGGATGTGCTTCACACGGAGTGTTAAGCAGCGTTCCTCCCAGAGGTAGCTGGACAGCCTTTCTCCACTACCACCTCCTACCCCTTCGAAAACAAAAACAATGTGCTAATTTTGGCAAAGGATGTTTAGACAGACCTTTGTCATGGGACACAGAGACTCAGGGTCACAGAGTCAGAATCTGGCAAAATGCAAATCACCCTATTCAAATGTTAAAAGTAGGTGTTATTTATGTTAAGATATTTTAACATATGAACCCAGGAATTTTCCTTTTACACCTAAAATAATACACACGTGCCTGTGTACATTCATATGAAGATTCGTTATGAACACATTTTTCCTTACTCTTTTATATGTTTAAATATTTTTCAGTGCCGGTTGTTTTATTGAATTAATCCTTTTGTAATGATCTGACTGGTTAATTCAGTTGACATAGTCTCATGTTGACATCACGCGATCCTAATGGTGGGTTGAGTGTGGAAGAGCCTTCTATTCAGCTGCCCTAGAATCACCCACAGACTGTATGGAGCACATCGTACATAGTCTGTTTCCGTAAACACAGCGGAGCCACACATTTCTTACAGTCTAAGCTCACGGTTGTATATAGTTTTATTCTAATAGTTTTCTTAAAAGCAAAAGTTAGAGAATTGTTTTCGATTAGTTCTTTATTTTCGATTAGTTCTTTATTTTTGTGGGACACTTATAGTCTTCATTAATGAACTGCCAGATCATGGGAGTACATCTTGTTAATTTTCAAAAAATTAGAAAATCCATGAGAAAGCATTTAATGACTTGCTTTAGTAGAGGCTTATGTCCTAATAACAAGTCAGGCTGTGATGGATTGTAATTACTGTTGCATGAAATTACTTTTCTGTTAATATTGTTTACAATTGTATTATTTCTTGAATTTTCTTTCAGAGAAGAGTTCCAGTCACAAATGCACATGTGGTGCATTTTGACACTTACTGCTAAGATGAAATGCAGAAGTGAAAACCACACATCCATTTTAGTATTCTAAGATGTGATTAGACATGCTGTATCATGTTTTTGTGCTACTGACCCATAAGGAAAAAAAAAAAAATCACTGGAAAAGGGTAACAGTACAGCTGGGACCTGCAACCTCGATACTTCTGGGATGAGCTGGAACATCACGGGAGATTTTATTGCAACATATTCACACCTCATCTGAGCCCTCAGCCTAGATTCATGCACATTTCCTTCACTGGCAGTTGTCACGAGGCACTTTACCTCCCAGAATGGCAGACACTCTCCCCACAGAGTTTGATGTGGTTATTATAGGGACAGGTTTGCCTGAATCCATCCTTGCAGCCGCATGTTCAAGAAGTGGTCAGAGGGTTCTGCATATTGATTCAAGAAGTTACTATGGAGGAAACTGGGCTAGTTTTACCTTTTCAGGATTGCTTTCCTGGTTGAAGGAGTATCAGCAAACCAGTGACATCGAGGACAAAAGTACCACTGCGTGGCAAGACCTGATCGATGACACAGAAGAAGCCATCACCCTTCGTAGGAAGGATGAAACCATTCAGCACACAGAAGTGTTTTGTTATGCCAGTCAGGACATGGATGACAGTACTAAAAAGGTTGATGCTCTGCAGAAAAACCCTTCCTGTGTGGTACATGGCACCCTCACAACACCTCTGGATTCCGCATGCTTGTCTGAGGAAACACACATGACTAGCTGCAAAGTGCCTGCCGAAGACACTCCAAAAAACGAGGGAGAAGTTTTACTAGAAGCAACCAATATAGAGGAAACTCAAGCGAAAGAAAAATGTAAAGATAAAACTTGTACACACACAATTTCAGACAGAGATGAAGACGAAAACAGATCTGTAGTGGAAGACAGCGCTGAGCGACCAAAGAGAAATAGGGTTACGTACTCACAGATAGTTAAAGAAGGCAGGAGATTTAACATTGACTTGGTATCAAAGCTGCTCTATTCTCAAGGATTGCTAATTGATCTTTTAATCAAATCAAACGTGAGTCGTTATGCTGAATTTAAAAACGTAACTAGGATTCTTGCATTTCGAGAAGGAAAAGTAGAACAGGTGCCTTGCTCCAGAGCAGATGTATTTAATAGCAAAGAACTCACTATGGTTGAAAAGAGGATGCTAATGAAGTTTCTTACGTTTTGTTTGGACTATGAACAACATCCTGATGAATACCAAGATTTCACACAATGCTCATTTTCAGAATACTTAAAAACTAAAAAATTAACCCCCAACCTTCAACATTTTGTGCTATACTCAATTGCAATGACAGAGTCATCCTGCACTACCGTAGACGGCCTTAAAGCAGCAAAAAACTTCCTTCGGTGTCTTGGACGGTTTGGCAACACTCCCTTTCTTTTTCCCTTGTATGGCCAGGGAGAAATCCCCCAGGGTTTTTGCAGAATGTGTGCAGTGTTCGGTGGAATCTATTGCCTTCGCCATAAAGTACAATGCCTTGTAATTGACAGAGAATCGGGAAGATGTAAAGCAATTATAGATCACTTTGGTCAAAGAATAAGTGCTAAGCATTTTATTGTGGAGGATAGTTACCTTTCTGAGGAGACGTGCTCAGATGTGCAGTATAAGCAGATCTCCAGGGCAGTGCTCATTACGGATCAGTCTCTGCTACAGGCAGATTCGGATCAGCAGATTTCCATTTTGATCGTGCCTCCAACGGAACCGGGGGCGCATGCTGTTCGGGTCACGGAATTATGTTCTTCGACCATGACGTGCATGAAAGACACCTATCTGGTACATCTGACCTGTACATCTTCTAAAACAGCAAGAGAAGACTTAGAATCAGTGGTGAAGAAATTATTCACCCCGTATGCCGAAACAGAAAAAGACAAGGAAGAACTTGCAAAGCCAAGACTCTTGTGGGCTCTTTATTTTACTATGAGAGATTCCTCAGGAATCAGCAGAAGCTCATACTGTGGCTTACCTTCCAATGTCTATGTCTGCTCTGGGCCTGACTGTGGGCTGGGGAATGAGCATGCAGTCCAGCAAGCCGAAACGCTTTTCCAGGAGATCTTTCCAGGTGAGGAATTCTGCCCCCCACCTCCAAATCCAGAAGACATTATCTTTGATGGTGATGATAAGCAACCAGAGGCTTCTGGAACCAATAATATAGTAATGGCCAAACTGGAATCGTCTGAAGGAAGCAAAAACCTAGAAAGCCCAGGGAAGCACCTTCAAAATTAGGAAAAAAGCAAACTGGAAATGCTACTTTGGGCCTTCATCCTAGCATGAGAATCTTCTTGTTTAAGGACAGTTTTCTATGAGAGTAATTAGAAGTGGTTTACATGATGAGTGCTATGCAGCTGTTGTCTTTAATTCTGTTTGAGACTTTCAGTCATTGGTTGTCTTTGTTAACCTATCAGTAACTGATTTATTGGTTATTGGACTTTTTTTGTTTGTTTCAGAATGCATTCCATGATCCAGAATCTTAAACAGAGTCAGCTTTATTTTAGTCCATATTAGCAGCTGTGCTTTATTAAAGGAAGGTCATGTATCTGCTAATGACCTTCAGATTTTATTGTCTACAATGACAATAAGTATTTTGCTTTGCAGCTAATATACAGTTACTACCACCTCTGAATAAAACACAGTAAATTTGTATAAAATATAAACGTACATGTATATAATATAAATACATATACATGGTAGCAATAGCAGCTAATGCAAGTGCCAATATGATAAAGTACATTTGTCTTATTAAAAGATGAACTTTGCATGATCCTTTATCTGTGAAGGTATGATGTTTACAGTAAGTCTTGCAGTTTAATTCTCCTACTTGACCCTTGTAACTGAGGAGGCAATGTTGCCACCATGATCTACTTTAGAAAAAGTGCCAGAGAGTTCTGTTAGTTGTTGAAGAGCTCATTCTTAGGAGAGTTAGTCCAAAAAAATCTAGAGCATAAGGTTGTCATTTAATTTCTACAGACCCCTGCTCTGGCACCTAAAAGGATTTCCAACAAGTAACGTAAGCCAAAAGGAAAAAAAAAATTGAGGAAAAAGACATTTCACAATGACTGTTCTGAAGTTCCTAAGGAGAAACTAAGTCACTTTTTACCTGGGATTGATTTCTCGAGGTTTCTCAGTGGGGGCGAATGTTGCACCTTGTTGGCTCTACCCTGTAAATAGCGACACTAACTGCAACCGATAGGAATGAGTCAGGAGGATTTACCGTGTCCCTTCAGTTGTGTCTCACTCCACGAGTAGTGAGGTAACTGCTTTCATAATCACTTCTGCCTTTGGGCTGTTACTCTAGAGGATAGAAACATTTTTCTAGAACCACCAGAAGTTATAATGCTGTTGTTACTCCAGTGGGGGAAGCCTGTGTGGAGCTGTCGTGAACTTCCCTTTTATGCCAGTTCCCATTTCTCAAGAGAATAGTAATCCTGTAGGAAGAGAGCCCTTCAGTGACAGTTGGTTTCCCCCCCCCCCCGCCCCCGGAACAAAGAGCATTTACCACATGCTAGGCACTTGTGCTCTCTCATTACAGTTTCTCAGTCCTGTGAGTCAGATGTTAAAATCGAATGTATTTTCAAAGAGCAAATAAAGATTTAATTAATAGTTTTCTCAGTCTGCTATGTGGAAGAGCCAGCATTGGAATCTAGGTTTTTATGATTTAAAAATCTTTCACTGAAGTTAACTGTTAGAAGAGGATGGGTACTGTAGGAGAAGGAAAAATGCTCATGAACATCAGTCTGGTGTTGCTGGTGAAGAAAAATAGACAGAAATTGGTTCTCAGCTTATTATTGAATCATAGAAATGTGAAGATTAAGAGTAATTGAAAATAAATATAGTTTAGAGCTATAGATCTCATTGAAGCAGAATTTGGCTAAGTTTTAACAAAATTCTTTTTAATGTCTTTTGATCTGTACATTGTATCATAAAAAAATATAGATGCCACTAGGCCAACATATGATCTGAATAGTCTTTTTTTGCTCTTCTATATATGAGGAAAGTGAAATAAGAAATATTTAATTTACACCTTACTAAAAGAGAAATCATGAATTGGTATATATATATATATACTTCTGAATATAGTGAAGTGGTATTATTGGGTGAATCCTGAGGTTTAATACAATGAAAATACCAGCAATAAACCTAAAAATTAGTCATTAAAATGAAAAAGAATTTAAGATGATTTAAAGTGGTACATATATAAAGTGGAATATTATTCAGCCATAAAAAGGAACAAAATCTTGCCATCTGCAACAACATGGATGGACCTAGAGGGTGTTATGCTAAGTGAAATAATGACTTCAGACAGAGAAAGATACCATATGATTTCACTTATATGTGGAATCTTAAAAAATTAGTGAACCAATGAAACAGAAATAAACTCAGAGAACATTTTGATGGCTACCAGATGGGAGGGATGTTAGGGGCATGGGTGAAATAAGGGAAAGGATTAAGAGGTACAAATTGGTAGTTGCAAAGTAGTCATGGGAATGTAAAGTATAGCATAGGGAATATAGTCAGTAATATTGTAATAACCATGTATGGTGTCAGATGGGTACTAGATTTATTGGGGTGATCACTTCATAAGTTATGTAAATATCTAATCACTGTATTGTAAACCTAAAACTAATAAAATATTGTATGTCAACTAATTGAAAAAAAAATTATCAAAATGATTAGGGGATATTATAACCTACTATAATTTTCTAATGAGTTGGAATTTTACCCTACTGGGCTTTTAGTTGTACTTTTTCAGATTCAAAGAATGAATATGTATTGTGAAAGGTGATATCCTAATATCTGCATTTTGAGGCAAATATGGCCTCAATACTAGAAGTCAGACATTTTGGAAAGGGTCTCATTCCGAACAGATGCAAAATGTAAAATAAAATATTGTCAAATAATACACAGCATGTAAACTGCAGGCATACCTCATTTTATTGCACTTTATGGTGCTTGGTAGATGTTGCGTTTTTTACAAATTGAAGAGATCCTTAGCGATCAAAAAGTATGACTTGCATTTTTTAGCAATAAAATATTTGTTTAGATATAGTGCTGTGTATACTTAAAAGACTACAGTGTAATGTAAACATAACTTTTGTACGCATTGGGAAACCAAAAAACTTGTGAGACTCACTTTATTGCATTATTCATTTTATTGTGATGGTCTGGAACTGAACCCACAATATCTCCCAGGTATGCCTGTAATTATTTACTAGGATTCATTCAGGATTATAAGGCCGGTGTTCAATAGAACAACCATTAAATGAACATCAACTGTGCAAAATACTAAGTAATCCAAACTTAATTACATAGAACTTAAAAGATCAATGAAGTTCATCATTCATCTTCAATTTAAATAATTACTTAAAACCAAGAACTAACATTCCTATCAGGAAAATATATAGAAAGCATTTCTCAAGCAGAAATTAAACAGTCTTGGCACCATTTTTATTTATATATGGTCTAAGAAGCTTATTGTAATAAAACCTTAGGATTCACAGAAAGGTAAAGACAAGGAAAGAAAGCACAAATATTTTCTATTCACATGGCTTTGTAACTAGTAAAACCTATAATATCATATAAATATCCTGACAATAAAAGACTAATTCAGGAAATTGCAGGATAAACAGTTTTTAAAAATCTCATTTCTAGATTCCAACAGTGACAAACTACAATTTAAAAACTTTGGATATTAATATATACGAGCCATTTAAAGTTATACAACTATATTGGGATATAGCAGATTGAAGGACCTACATCCTAGGGTAATGGAAAAAAGTAACCAGGGAGTCTGAAAACCAAAATTATAGTTCTCATTTCACTGCTTACCAGTTGTATGGTCTTGGAAAAATCACATAGCTTCAATTTCATCATCTATAAAATAGAAATAATACTTTGCTGAATTATTTGGGGGATTACATTTATGTATATGAAATCATGTTCAAAAGAATGGCCACAGGTGACATGTAGATTTACTATACTTCCACTTAACATTCCAATTGGATGCTTAGGTAATGACAGTTATGATAAATTATTTAGGAAAAAAAGCAAAACTATGTCTTTATAACCTGGGAAAAAATGGGAGTCTTGCACTTATAATCCTTAAGACATGCTATTAAGTAATCTTTCTAAATATACTATGGTACTGAATAGAAAGTTTAGCTAAGACTAATAAGCCAATTGGAAAAAAAGAAATATGTAATAACTGCCAGAAAGACTAGCTGGATGTCAATATGAAAAAAAGAAATTAGATCCTATTATAGATGATATAACTAATTCCACATCAATTAAAATGTTAAGTATAAAGGTAAAAATAAAAAGACTACAGTTTTCATCCTAATAATGGTAAAAGGAAATGTATGGCAATAGAAAACATTGACAAGGCAGATGAGATTAACTAAATGAAAAATGAAAAATATACTAAGTAAGAAGACAAAAGAAGAACAGATGGAATTTTAAAAAGGTACTTGCCTTACATATGGATAAAGCACTTACTATTTTTTAAAAGGTAAGTGCAAATCCATAAGGCTTTTTACTCTTTACTAGGCAAATTTATAAAAGGACTGGCAAATTGAAATGACTTTGACCTAGTTCATGCTATTAGCAAAAATTTTTCAATTGTATGTGTCCTCATACCAGTAGCATTATTTTATTAGTGGTTTTTAAAATAACTAGAAAATATAGTGAGAGCTCTATAACCAATCTATCTTTCGATAGATATAACTCATTTGAGTAGCATATGCCCAGGAAAATATTTAAAAGATATTTTTAGTAAGTCCGTTCATTTGAGTTAAAAAAATGACAATCCCAATAGTTGGGCTATGGATAAGTAAATTTTTGTGTTTGCTATTGCTATCATACACTGTTATGTAGCCATTAAATAATAATCGTCTTTGTAAAACTATGGCAAAAATGTTTGAATGAGACTTAAAATGAGACATAAATTATTGTATTTACTGATTATATTATGTACACTGAAAAAAAAATTGGAGTTTGACATTAAGGGGTTCTTTTTTTTTCTGTAAAATACTGATGTGTGCAATGAAAAATAAAAGATTAATGGTATAATCATTTACCAAATTGGTGAGATAATTATTGATTCCTTGGAAACTTCTAAAGTTCTCCTTTAAATTCAAATATATATATATTTTAAATGTTAAAGTCAAAAGATAATTTCCAGAAATATTGATAGAAAGTTTTACAGCTCTTGGTGGGAAATTTTCTTAGCTAAAATGGATTTTATATCTTTTCTCAGCTATCTGGCATTAAGAAATAAGGTATATATTGTGATGACACTTTTTTAAATGGGAACCTCACAGCCAGAGGTTGAAATAATAGAAATAGTATTAATGCCTTTCAGCACATTAGAATGAAGATATTGTGTGCTAGTTAAAGTATGGACCCAAATCCAAGAATACACTTCATTTGGGAGTCTTAGAGGCCATGGAAATAAAGGTTGGGTTCGGATTCCTAGATTTGGCCAAGCCTGGGTCTGAGAAGCCTTTTCAGGGAGACCCATTCTGGGGACAGATCTCAAGAGATTGAGGATGCTGGCTGGCCTTTTTTGTTAGCCTGAGAGATCCAAATCAAAAGGCGATTTAATTCAGTAAACATCAGTTGAACATCAGCTGTGGATTATGAATTGGTGTTATTCTAGAGATTACAAATAGAAAAATGAATGAAACAGATCCTCTACCTGCGAACCATTCTGTTGGATGACATACATAACTTTTACCTTAATGAGAATTAAGACGTTTTCTATCTATCATATTCCCCATTATAACTACTGCCACCTCCCCCGACACACAAAAAGAAAAACAAAAGGGAATCTGATTTGTGATGCATGGCATTCCTTTAAAAGGGGTGCCAAAACTTTTTATTACATAGTTGGAAACAAATAGCTTAACAGTTAAGTGGTAGATCAGTTAATACTTTCTGAAATCTATTTCAGCTAACATTTAGTTAATTAAGAAGTTTCTGACATTAATCGGAAGCTTTCTGTCTTGCTTGGGTGAAAGAGTGAAGAGAATGTGTAAAAGACTGAGTCCCAGGAGCTCAAGGCATTGAGTCAGGGAGTAGGAAGTATAAAGAAATCAAAAGGCCAAAAGAAAGTTTCAAGACCAAGAAATTCCAATTAGGATTACTTTTGTTTACCTTCCCAAGAAGAGCAGGACAAATGAAGTCATGCTTTTATTGCATTGAGGTAGTTACTTCCTTTTTGAAGATTTAAAATTTTTTTTAGTATTTTTACCTTCATTATAGCGGTATTATTTACAGTATCTTCCTTATCCTTGTAACCAATGACCAAATGTATTCACATTTCAACAGCAGGTGATAATACCTCCAGCTTTCTGTAAGGCAGAAGCAAAGTAGCTGAGTAATTCAATTGAAAGAATTTGACTCCAACATGAATATTACGCAGCAGTTCTGCTCCAGCATTTGCAGGAATACTGCTTTTTCTTCTGACAACTACATTTTCTTATATGAACCTCAGGACAACTATGTAAGGTAAGAAAAGGCAGGCATTTATATCCGTTGTATAGATAAGACTAAGTGACTTATTTGGACTCTCTTGGTAAGCATTCAGATCCATTAATTAGAACTGAAATGTAACTATTCCACTTTGCCTCCCATCTCGAGAGTTATTTATTGTATATAAGTGCATAATACATAAATCGCTATTTTAAAAGTAGTGGTTTCTGGAATTTTAGAGTACATTTGTTTTTCAGCAAATAAAAAAATCGTCCTATAAGTAAAATTTGTGTAAAGGGGGGCAACTGATGATTTTTATGTCGAGAGCTTCATTTCTTCCTATATAGTATCTTTATTAATTCGTGCTGATGTCCTATAATTTTGGCATTTGCTTGTTGCAAATATGTATTTAACACTTAATATACTGTGAACAGCTAATATAAATAAATGGATTCACATTGAAGAAAAGGTATGACTGGTTCAGAAGTGCAGGATTGACAAAGTATAGGAGATAAATATCTGCTTTGTAGTCCAGTCAGAAGGAAATACATCTAGGTATTTCTAAAGAAATAGGAATCCCTATGGACATTGGTGCAGTGGAGTTTATGCCAATTCTTTTATTACAGTTCACAGAACTAAACTCCTTGAGCACCTCGTTCCTGCTTATTGGAGACTTTTATTTATTCTGTATTTATTCATCCTTATACTTAAGAATAAAAATATTACTAATCTAGTATGGGGGAAGATTATTTTTACGTCATAAGCTAATTTCATATGTGTAAGTTTATATTCAAATTTTTGTATTAATTTCAGTCTTTTGTCATTATGAAGAAGAAATTTGGGGGAATATATTGCAGAGGAAGAGCAGGAAATCTTGTTTTTAGGCAATTAATTTAGTTGCTAGTTTCCTAAGATGATTTATGTGAAGGATGATAGAGAAATAAGCTGTATGTCCTGTTCCTTTAACAGTCCTGCTTTATGACAGCATAACATTATTTGTAATGCCCTCTGTTACTGAAACATAAATATCAACCAGGTATTTATTAAAAGGAAAAAGCAAAAGATGAGAAGTGCACTGGAAATAATGTGCCATGAGCCTGCGATCTGACTCGGTGTGTGCGCTGCAGCTCCGTCCTGCGCTCCACAGGCTCCTCCTGGTGCCTCTTCTCTTCCATGTCATCCCTTTGCCTTCATCCCCTCCCTCTGGGTTCCAGCCTGAGGGACAGAGCCACTGGGAAAATGTATCAGCATCTTAGTCCTGGGTCCACCTGCTGTCAGTACACATAGTTTTAGGATAAGCCTGTGCGAGTCAATGCAACTATTTAAAAATAGGCAACATTTCAGTAGTCTATAAGATGTTCCATCTAATAATTTTACTAATTTTCTTTCATTAAGGCAGTGGTTCTCAAACCAGGGTGATTTTGCCCTTTAGGGGACGTGTGACAATGTCTGGAGACATTTTTGACTGTTAAAATTGGGAAGGGGTGTTATGGCATCTAGTGGGTGGAAGGCAGGGGTTCTGCTAAACCCTACAATGCACAAGACAGCAGCTCCACGAGAAAGAACCATCCAGTCCAAAATGCCGATGGTGCCACGTTTGAGAAAATTGAATTAGAGTAAAAATCTTGAATATTTATAGTGAATCTTCTTTCATTTTTTTACGCTCCCCATTTTTACCTTTTTTGCTCATTATCTTCTGACTCCCTACATGCTTCTTCAGCAGCATCATTGTCCATTGTCAGCAGCAACTGCTGTCTGCTGCTGCCTCGTGCCCCCCACCACCCCATCCCCCGCCCCACTGAGGCGCAGGGCTTTCTTCTGAAGGTTTACGATCAACTCCAAGCATAATTCAGGGAATTAGGGAATATTTCTCATCCTGCCCCTATGGTCCAATGTAGATTAGAGATTTTTGTGGGTTTTTGAAAATATTTATTCATCTCATTCAGAAATAGAATAATTCTGCAAAGAAGTTATAGAAATAAAAGGATGGTACCTTTTGTTTCTGTTCGTTTTTAAATAATATTTCCATATTAATTTTAGATATCTTTCTATACACTGCAAACGACTAGCTCAAAGTTAATGTAAAAATATGTTAGCATACATTTTTTGGAGGAGTGCTATTCATTTGACAGGCTATGGGCAAATTAATCAAATTATACATATATAATAATATCCTGAGTTTCAGAGAAGCCAAAACAAGAGTAAATAAACCATCCGTAATTGAATTGTACTCAAAATTACACTCGCTGATGGTTCACCAGGCAATGAGCTAGCACAGCAGCTTGATATTTATAGACAGGGGTTAACTACAGAAAATACCTAAATGGAATGAGTCAGTGTTCTTAATGCAGAGAAGAACCTTAGCTAGATTACACTGCAAAGTGAAACACGGGTTTAATACAATGCAACGTTTATTGAACACTGTGCCCCAGTTTCTGTGCTATACTCTGGGAATGCAGAGAATAATTATAACTAACATTTACTGAGCACTTATTGTATGCCAAGCACTGCTCTAAGTACTCGCTATATTTATTTAATCCTCATAACAACCCAATGGGGCTAGGTGTGTTTATTATCCCCATTTTGCAGAGATAAAGAACTTGACCAAGATCACACAGCTGGTAAGTGAGCTGCGATGTGGAGTCTTCAGTGAGGTGTCAGGGTAAGTCCAGCACAAGTAACTAACTACTTACATGCCAGAAACTGTTCTAATTTCTTTATATATATTATCGCAATTTTTAAAATAACCTTATGAGGTAGATACTAATGTTTCTTTGTGTAGATGAGAAATAAGGCTCAGTAACTTTCCCAAAGTTACATAGAGTTAGTACATTGTGGAACTCTCAGTCCACGGGGCCGACGCCGACGCAGTTAACCACGACCTTAATCAGGCTGAGGTCATTTCTGTGATGGAGGAATACACTTCAATGGATGTGCAGAGATGTTATTTTAAGTCTGACTAGGGAAATCTGGGAAGCTTTCATGAAAGAAAAAGCCTGGGTTCTACGGGTCAAGGAGGGTTTCTCCAGGATGATGCGAGGAACACACTCCGTGTGGGGAGCACAGCGGAAACAAAGGGGCGAGGACATCGAGAGCACTGCATGGCGAGAGCGCGGCGTTCCCTGACCTGGTGGGAATGGGGGCCGGGGGCGGGACACAGGAGACAGCGTCCACACTGTCAGTAGTCTTGAATACCGTGGGACTTTTATTCAGTGGGTGGCCAGGAACTGTTGGAGGGTTTTCTAGATAAGGCCTCTGTTTAAAGGGCAGGCTGGTGACATTGTGGAGGGAGGCCGGAAAGAAGGTGCGGAGACTGGATTCAGGTGATGCGTCAGGAGAGAAAGTCTGATAGGCTTGGGGACGGCAGAGGGATGGGGATGAAACAGGAAGAGGAAATTTTGGAGAGAACCACAGGAGCTGAAAAATGTGTGTTATGGATAAGAGAGAGAGAAAGGAATTGGAAATGAGTAAAATGTCAGCTTTGGTGTTTGAATGAGTGCAATACATTTAACCAAGATTGGAAAC